ATCAGTCACTATCCTCCCTTGTGTTTATCCATATGTTGTAGTTATCCTAATCATTATAGGATTAGGATAATCATCCCCTTATTTATTGTAATCCTTATCTCCTAAGGAATATGCTTATTCTCTTGTATGTATATATATGTATGTGCACGTGATGAATAAGATATACAGAGTTACAAAAACCTTCTTTATTCCACAACAAATATGTATATTTGATAGATATTTTGTTTTCTATGAATGTTATTTCCTGTCAATTCTTTTTTACCCTACTAATAATTGGATGATTGGAAGAAGAAGGTTAAACATTTAAATAAATGATTTATTTCCCACTCTTCAGTTTCTCCACCATTTTTAGGTAAAATTTTATCCAACAAAGAAAATTACAAAACTAAAGAACAAATAAATGATCGTCACGTGTCACTTCAACAACCTCACACTTGACCTTCAACCCCATATCTGCTCCTTGACCGACGCCGTTACCAGAAGCCACCGTTCTTCTCCGCTTCGTAGCTCCGTTGTCAGAGCAAGAACCTCTCTTTGACTTAACCCGAACCGGGTCGGGTTCTCCCGAGTTAACCCTCAACGGAAAATTCAAAAGAGCGCGGGAACCACGCATCCTGAAAGCAGCTCTGTCGTAAGCCAACGCAGCGTCTTCCGCCGTCTCAAACGTCCCCAACCAAACCCTAGCTCCGTTCTTGGCCGGATCCCTTATCTCCGCCGCGAACTTCCCCCACGGCCTCTGCCTCACTCCTCTATAATGCTTCCCTTTCTCCGGAGCCTTAACCTGACTCTTCTTCTTCGCTGGAACAGAATCCACCGCCGTGAACTTCTCGGTTTTAACCACCGGAAAGGAGCTTCGTTCTTCGTCGGAGGATGAAGATGACGGCTCCCATCCGCCGTGGAATGCGTCGTTAAGGGTACCGTAGACCAACATGTCCTCCGAGTCGTTTTCTTTCAACGGCAAGTCTCCCCAGCTCTCAGTGAAACAAGGGTACAACTTGCTGAAGCTAGGGTTTCTTCCGTACACCGGTTTAACGGTCGTACCAGACTGAGCCACCGAACTCGCCGTCGACTCGCTGAGCCACGACTCCGATTCCCCTAGTAAGTGTCGCCTTATCGACTCAAGCAAAATGTAGTCGGATTCTGCCGCCATTTTATTTTTTTGGAAACGTATTTGTTAATGTTTATCTTGAAAATGTTTTTTATTTGTTTTGTAGAAATATTAAACTTTGCAATGGGAATGAAGGTACAGAGGTTTTGTTATATTTATATAAAAGAGTAGATTGAGCTAAAAAGGTTCATGAACCTGGAAAGGTTTGAATCGACAAAGACATGCTATTCTTATAAATATTATTTCTAGTGTTAGTGGGGTGCTTTAAAAGTTGAAAAATATGAAAGTAGTGAATTTTTCTCCTTGCTATGAAGGTTCGTGAATTAAAACACGTGGGCATTATCCACATAAAGACACAGGTGCAGTAGCCGTCAAGGAATGTTGTCACGCAATCTATGGAGGAAAGCAATAATGTGATTGGTCTCTCTCTCGTGTCCCCCAACTTGTCTTTGTCTTTTCGTCATTCTGGTTTTGGCTCTTTTTCCAACTTGAACAACCGGTTTACTGCATTACATCAATGCCGGTTTACTTTCTGTAAACAAAACCGGGTTTATTGTTTCTAAAGAACCAGTTCAGAATCAATAATCATTTCCTTTTTCTCGTTGCTGTATAAAATCATATGTTCATAAAGATCCAATTAATCATTCATTACTCCAGAAGAAAAATCTATGTTTTTTGTGTGGTAAAAAATTAATATTTATACTATATAAAACTTATGTTTTGTTTTTGCTAACCGAGTATCATGACTCCACTGAAATGGTCCAAACTAGAGACTGAAGCGAATAAGGACACTGTCAGGACATCACTATGTGGCTCACCTATAACGATTGTCGGTCTCGGATGTTGCAGTGCATATGTAAATTCCGTAGTGGCCAAGGCTAGAATCCAGGGGCGGGTACTCCAGCACGATGGGTGCGTTGGAATGCGAGTAGTATGTGTGACATTGAACCTGTGGTCCAAGGTTTTAGTTGATAATATTCTGATGGATAGAGTTCCTTGGTTTTACTTTGTGCCTTTTAATGGTAGCTATGTCGTCTCAGTGCGATCTCTTACTGCACTATGCAGGTCCTCTATTATATTCAATTGATTATTGGTGTTTTTATCTTGTATTTCTCTTCTTTGTGGCAGTTGAAAGAAAAATTTATTGACATATTTCATCTCGTAAATATATATGATCTTGACGGATATTGTTCTCCTGATTGTTTCATGTCTGGAGCTGTTTCGTTTTCCAATATTTTCTTTAATATGGAGTGAAATGGAAGTTCAAGTGTTGCAGGTATTGCAAGGATTCTCCTCTCAGCTAGTGCTATTCTCTATTGTTGATGGAGTGATTGTAATCATGTGGATTATACTAGATGTAATTATTCAAAAAGCTTATGAGATCGTTTTCATACTATATTTATGATTTCTTTTTTTGTTTTGTGATTTGTATCAATTCTATCTTCTTCTGTTTTATCAGTTTATATCTTTGACTGGCTCTCTTTGTCTTTTCCTCTAATGGAGCTTAAACTCTTTTGAGATAAATTCAAGTTTTCTTTGTTGAGAAAAAAAAAAGCAGGCGTGGTGTATATCATCATCCGAAGCTCAACTAATTTTATAACTAACATTTTGTTGGATAAACTTGAAGAAATACATAAGGAATAAAGAAACCTATTCCAAGTTGGTTTATGATATGTCTTGTGTTTTACAATTAGGAATAGAAGTTTTGTTATCCCTATATAAAGCAATGTAATGTGTTGACATATGCTATGAGTTTATGAGTGATTTTTGATTTGAGAGCTTTAGATTTTGAGAGAGTTTCCTAAAGCATTAAAGTGTTTAATAAGAGATTTTTTTTCATATCTTGATCTTTAAATTCTATATTTTGTATCAGAGCATTAGGTTAAGGATTAAGATTTCATACGACAACTATGGTTGACGTAAAAGAAGAAACCGTGTCGAACAAGGATGTTGGATCCTCCTCCACTAAATTCCCAATACTAACATCCTCCAATTATACCGTCTAGTTTATGAAGATGAAGCTAGCACTCAAGATTAACAAGGTGTGGGAGACGATTGAACCTGGAACAAAGATGAAGAGAAAAACAACATGGCTATGGTACCTATATTCCAGTCCATGCCAGAGGCATTAACTTTGAATGTTGGAGATATAGATACAGCAAAAGTAGTATGAGATACAATAAAGGCTAGATATGTTGGGGCTGAGAGGGTAAAAGAGGCTAGGTTATAAACCCTAATGAAAGAATTTGTTCGACTTAAGACGAGAGATTGAGATATGGACGAGAGATTGAGATATGATTGATACTTTTCTGGTAAACTATCAGAGATCTCATCAAAATCTGCATCTTTAGGAAAGATGATTGAAGAACCAAAGCTTGTGAAGAAAATTCTTAAAAGCTTGCCTAGAAAGAATCATATTCATATTGTTGCTTCTTTATAGCAGGTTCTAGATCTTAATATAACAAGCTTTGAGGATATTGTTGGTAGACTAAAGGCCTATGAAAAAATAATTGCTGAAGAAGAAGGAGACACATATGGTGATCAGAAAAAAATAATGTATACAAGCACTGATTCATATCAGGAAGGTCATGGCATGAGTTATGGCAGAGGTACAGGACGCTGTGGTCGTTCTACTTGGAGAAGAAGAGGCTGTGTCCGCTCTGAATCATTTCAAAGTCAGAGAGATGCTTACAGACAAGGACGAGTCCGAGACACTTCACATATTACATGTTTTCAGTGTGATAAACAATGACATTATGCTAGTGACTGTCTAGATAGACTAGTAAAACTGCAAGAAACTGTTGAGGAGAAGGATAAAGACACTCAAGAAGCAGATAGGTTAATGATGAATGAGGTTGTTTATCTCAACAAGAAGAAAGTAAATCCCAACACCTTTGAAGCTGAATCTGATATGCAGGATGTGTGGTTTCCCGATAATGGCTCAAGTAATCACATGAGTGGTAATCGTTTCTTTTTCAGTGAACTAGATGAAACCATTACATGTATGGTACGCTTTGGTGACGACTCGAGAATTGATATAAAGGGTAAAGGTTCAGTCCGGTTTTTTTCAAATATGGAGAGAAAAAGATCTTAGACAATGTCTATTACATATCTGGTTCGAAAGTAATATTGTGAACTTAGGTCAAGCTACAGAGGCTGGATGTGAGGTACGAATGCAATTTTATTCCATACTCTAACACTCTATGATAGTTTGGGACAGCTAATGGTTAGAACAACAAGATCAAAGAATCGCATGTACAAGGTCAATCTGCTGGTTGACCATATGCAATATTTACAAATAAAAACAGCCACATAGTCATCAAGGTGGCATGCACGCTTGGATCATATCAATAAAGAGGCGATGAAGATAATGATCTCTCCCGTTATATGTGGACGATACTATTAAAATAAAAGAGTGAAGCGTTTGACAAGTTCAAAATTTTCAAAATACTTGTTGAACAAGAAACATAAGCTAAGATAAAAATATTTCGGAAAGACAGGAGAGGAGAATCTGTCTCTCACGAGTTTCAGTCTTATTGTGGTAAAATGGCATTAAACGGCCCTTGACAGCTCTCTACTCACCTCAGAAGAATGGAGTGGTTGAAAGACACAATCGAATCCTCTTAGAGATGACAAAAAGTATGTTTCACATGAACATGCCAAATCTTCTTCGGAGATAAGCAATAATACATGCTACTTATCTTATAAACAAAGTCACAACAAGGTCTCTTGATGGAAAAGCACCATATGAGGTATTGAAAAGTAGAAAACCGAAACCTTGGTCACTTAAAGGTGTTTGGTAGCGTGTGCTATGCAAGAACAGAAACTGCAGGTCGTAAGAAACTATATGACATAACAAGAGTGCTTGTTCACTTAGGAATCGAACCGGGATCAAAGGTGTATCATTTGGCTGATCCTTCAAGCAATCGGATCATAGTGAGTCGTGATGTTATATTTGATGAAGAGAGGGAATGGAAATGGAATCATACAATACAAACAATAAACAATGATCCAGGAGAATTTATTGTTGATTATAAGCTCTTAAGCGATGGATCAGAGGACATAGAGAACTCTGAGGAACCTAATGGGACTGATGATATAAATGAAGAAGAGTAGACTTGTAGTGAAGAAGAAAGCTCACAGCCACAACCAAGAAGGTCATCTCGTGTAACTACACGACCCTCATACCTTGATGATTACATTCTTCTTGCTGAAATATAATGTGAGTGTTTGTTGGTTATAATGAATGATGAGCCGTGGAACTTTAATGAAGACAAAGATCTGAAAGTATGGATTGAAGCATATGAGGATGAGCTCTTCTCAATACATAAGAAAAATACTTGGGATCTTGTGGAGCTACCTAAAGGAGTGAAACCAATTGGCCTCAAGTGGGTATTTAAGATCAAACATAATGCTGATGGAGGTATTAGTAAGTATAGAGAACGTTTGGTTGCAAAGGGGTATGTTTAGAGACACGGTGTGGATATTGATGAAGTATTTTCTCCAGTAGCTCGTGTTGAAACCATATGGTTGATCATTGCTCTTGCAGTCTCAAATGGCGGGGAAATACACCATATTGATGTGAAAATTGCGTTCCTTCATGGAGATCTAAAGGAATAAGTATATGTTACTCAATAAGAAGAATTTGTTGCTGCGAAGAAAGAAAATAAAGTGTATAAGCTCAAGAAAGCGCTTTATGGCAAGCACCTAGAGCATGGAACATTAAGTTGAACCAGATTATGCGTAGACTGAACATTACACAATGCTCAAAAGAACCATCACTATACCATAAGGAAGTGAACCAAGAGCTTCTTATTGTAGTAGTCTATGTAGACGACTTACTAGTTACTGGTTCATCACTTTGGTTGATACACGAGTTTAAGAAAGAGATGACAGCCAAGTTCAAGATGAATGACCTTGGGTGATTAACTTAATACTTGGGAATAGAGGTTCATCAGTATGAGAGAGGTATCGTACTAAATCAAGACTGTTATGCACGTAGAATACTTGAAGAATCTGGCATGGGTTTCTGAAACTTAACC